CAAATGACATGTCGTCACCTCAATCTAGGGATTAGTCTATATCTAGAAGGTTTAGGAGGCCAAGGGCATGTTGCCACATATTGATAACTAGTCAATCTTACTATGGTTTATCTTTGTAAAAGTAAGTTAGATAGACATTACCATTTGTTACTATGGTAAATTCTCAAGTAGTTTATATAGAGAGGTAGGGAAGAGCCTTTCAAGCAAGTTTGAAGAGATAATATATAAAGACTTGTTTCATATATGAAAGAGTGATAGATTTTTATTACCTTGGAGTGTCGATGTATGTGTGAGTTGGAGTGGCACCTTGAGAGATTGTGTGAGAGGGTGATTGAGCTATGAGTATGAGGATGAATCATAGTCTTCTAGAATCATGATGAACTACCGAAAAGCCATTTGAGGTAAACCTAAGTGAGAGTCAGCTCGGAGTTTGCAGATCAAAATTAATCATTTGAAAAATTCTACAATACATTGTGTTACTTTGCAAGTTTCACACAAATTAAGTTTACAAGCAATGTTGTCATATTTATATAAAAAATCTATCATGTTTTGGCTACAGCTTACTTCTAATTGAATCCAATTTACAAAAGTATCTGTGTTAAATTTAAACTTAAAACATATCACAAAGTATTTATACAAATAACGGAAATTATAGTTTCATACATGAAATAAGAGAAAATTGATAGAATTCAACTCATGTTTTGATTGATTAATGCTAATTCAATCTATTTTACTAAAATTTATTAGTTTTTTATTATGTAGAAAAACCTCACCAAAGCTTTCAAACACACAATTATATTAATATTTGAAGTGAATTGAATTGTGGATGTAGCCTAAAGTGATGAATAGTGATTTTCTAATATGTTTCACATGTGTGTGAAAATGGAACCTAGTTGGATTCAAATCTATTGCAAGAATCAAATGTATCATTTTGATCATATTTATTGTGTCAATTGATAAGTTGACAAGTCATTGCACATGCAAAAATTTTTTTTTAACTATTATGTATCCACTCCTGTGACTATCATTCACACAATAAAGTCATAGTTTTCATATGATATATCCAGTTATACATTTTTAAAAAAACTTGCTAATCATTTTGGATCATTTTTTCATATAGCTATATGAATGTAAAGAATAAAAAATTATTGCATCATTTATCAAATCAATACAAGATATGCAATCTCAAGTCTTATTTTAACCTAGATTTAGCTTTGATTGTATTTTGATAACTTTTCAAGATGTTTTTTATGCAGTTTTCATTTCTCAAACATACTTTTAAAAAATCTTTTGTACTCATTATGTCATGGACATTATTTTCATTTGTAATATCTCATGATATAGTGATTTCCAAACTTGCTTGAAATAGTTTGCTTACTTTTTCATTTTTACAAATCTTTAATTATCATAATTAATATTTTCTATGTAACTTTTTTTTACTAAATTAATGCTGATTAGTATCATTCAAAGTCATGAAACACCTTACATGAATTGGTTTCTTCTAACTATAAAACTAAACAGCTTTTGTGTTCTAATGTCAACTATCTTTGGAGACTTGAAACTTCTAAATCCATACTTGCATTAAATTAGTTCAAATATTCATCAAATGAATCATATATTTGTATCCAATCAATTGTTACCGAATGTTTATAAACAAAGATTTTCATAATATACAATATAGCCTTGGATAAAAGACAAAAGTAATATTGATTATTAAAAAATATTCAAAATGTATAATTGTATTTGATAAAAAAATTTGGTAATTAAATTTTTATAAAAATCATCTAAATCCAGTAATATTTGAAATTTGTTTCTATCAAAGATACTATCATGTCATTAATTATGGTAAATTTAATCCAAAAAATATCAAATTTTTTTAAATTTTTGAATTTTTGCTTTGTTATCAATGGAGAGAAATTTTTTTTTAATTCAATAGATAAACGCACATTTACTAGGCTTATGTCCACTAAAACACCAAAAGAACTCAGCATAAATCCTTATTGTTTCACCGAGAGATTTTTCTAACTATATATTCTTAAATTAATTAGAGTTAATGCTATTTTGAATTAAGTGTTCAAATATTTTACAGCAAATCAAATGATAGATAGCAGGATGAAACACATAAAGTTAAAATATTTTTGAAATAGAGATAACGATTTTATTAATTAGGATTAAGCTTGTCAGAATTAACGTTAAATTTAATCTCATATGTTGGCCAGTTTTCTTCTCTTAAAAAATTTTAATATACAATTTGCTACTTTCCAACTATTACATAAAATGCACAATAAATTTACTCACAATAAATTCACTTCATCTCTACAGTCAATTTACTCTATCATGTTATGGCAGCGATTTTGTTAGAATACAGTTCTCATATTTGTATAGGTCTAGAGCTAATTTTGATTCAGATTTTGTTCTACTTAAGTTCTACAGAGGGATGTATAACTGATTATTTTTAAAATTTTAATAATATATTAAGACAAATGAAGATAAAAAAATTTTCTATACAAATATAATGTATTTTAAAATTTTTAAATCATAGAAATATTATAAGAACAAAAATATTAGAAAATTCGAACATAAGGAATGGTATCATGACGAGGTTGTATTTAGCTCCAAAAAAAATCATGAAATCAAAACTCCCAGAGATATAAAAATTATTCCTATATAAGAAACTTCTTTTATCAACAAAAATATTTCAGTTGCAAGAGCAAGAAGAGTTGAATATGCAACAAAAATCCAATGATGCTATTTAAAATAAGTAAAATAAAGAAATTGAATTAAATGATTGATGTTATAATATTTATTATATGACTTTTGAGTTACATTTATTTTTATGATTTGATAAAAAAATGACTATCAAATTGATTTTTTTATAATTATAATCATAATAAACGCATGATTTTAAAAGTCAATAAAAAATTAATGAAACATTGGTTGGTTAAGCAGAAACTTTGATGCATTAGGGTTTCTTGAAAAATTTTACTTCTGTAGTTTCTACAATGTCAAAGCATATAAATTATTTAAAATGTCAATTTTTTAATAGTCATTACATAAAAATTGATCAATTTATAATTCTTCTAATTGATGCTCATATGACACTATGTAATACTATAAATTTTTATAAATTTTTTATTCAATTCATGATATATGTATGTATGTATATATATATATATATGGAATTAAATGAAAATAATATCATTAAATAGATATTTTATCTCATATTACAATTCTGATTTATTATGTATATTTTCATAATTTTTTTTAAAGTATATATGTATTGGAATATATTATAATTATATAAGTTGATGAGACTTGGGATTTTTCATGCCATGTTGTTAGAATGCAATCAATATATATATATATATATATATATATTGTTGATCCAGTTTAGATGGCTCAAAGAAGAAAAATTGCATTCTAACAACATGACATGAATGCGTAACACATAATGTTTTATTATACAAATAATCTAGTACACCAAATAATTTGTGAAGGTGAGATGAAGATCGTTATCTTAGTGTCTCGTTTCTATACCTTAGATCCATCTGCAACAGACCTTTTCTCAAAATTTTAACCTCAGATTACATTCTATCAGAAAGACATGAAACTCAGACGTTTGAAATCCCAGAATTTCGCCCAAATCATGCTTCTTTTTTTGCTTTGCACATTTCGCTTCTGCAGATGATCAATCGATGTGAAACCTTGCAAGAATGGATGTCTACACGTTCAAAAAGTATTTCCACAACAAGATATCATAATCAACTGTCAAAAACAAATTCCAAGCTTTTCAAGTTTGGGGTCTCGTTATAAACCTGCAAGAGTTCATTCTGTGTCTATGCAAAGTAGAGATTCGAAAACGGTTTGCTTTTAGACAATCCCTTTGCGACAAATGTCCCTGCACTTACCGGGAAGTGCAAATTTCACCTTTAAAAGTCGTCTAATAGCTAGAGGATGACTCGAACAAACTTGGAGATGATGAACGGAAAAGCGTCTTGCTCTCAGCTAAAGCCCATTTCCTCCATTTCACCAGTCTCCCAAGTGCAAGTTCAACAGCACGAGGATTTATTCGGTTCTATTCACTCATAAGATAGAACGCATCGTCATCGGAGAGGCGCTTAGATTTTGGGCCCCAAGCGCTGGATTCAAGCCACTGACAACGCGAGCATCATTGTCAGTGGGCGGGGTCGCATTTAGCGCAGTCAAACAAAGTCAGGCAACTGGTGGCGGATGAGCGCGCTGAGTGGAGGGGGACGGGAAATTCGTATGCATGAGTGACAGTATAGGCGAGGCGTAGCTCCCCGCGTAGACAGTCGAAGCGGGCCTAAATCTCGTTCTTGGCTCCGAATGAGGCGTCGGTGAGGTCACACTTGTACTGGATGCGATCTTCGCGGGCCACTCGGTCAATGCCAATCTTCGCGCAGTCGTGTAAGGCTCACAGGGTACGTCCTTTTCCGTGCAGAGTACTCGGGTCCGATCCGGCTGTACGGGTCTACTGCATAGAGTGGCAAATTCTGGAGGGTGGCTGATTTAGCCCTCCCCCAGAACCACGTCTCGATCTGCCTTCTGCAGCCAGGTCGAGACGGGGTTGAGGAATCTTCTATAGTTGGAGGAGGAGGAGGAGGAGGATTAGGAGTAGAGCTCTTGGGCCCGAGAGACAAACCGGGCGAGCTCCGACATTGACGAGCGAGCGAGCGGGAAGAAGATATGCTCGCATTGCAGACTGTTTAGAGCAGCATTGATCGAGCGTTGCTCTCCACGGCCCGGATTTCTGCTGCTGATGCTTGCGGAGTGAAGAGGCTGTGGGTCCGGCAAGCCAAATAGTTTTGGCACGCTGTGAGAGGCGGGGCCTAGATCGAGTAGAGACGTGGAGTGGGATTGCAGATTGCAGGGTGCAAGGGTTGAGTGAGTGGGGCGGCCGAGGTGGAGGAAGAGGAAGAGGAAGAGCGCACACGGATAAGGACATGGAGAACATGCACACAATCCAAAGATGTGTCTGCGCGCGCACAAGAGAATGACATAAATAGAACAAATCGTACTCCCTCCTTACAATATGTCCACATATGGTACATAGTGAAGAGAATTAAAAAACGAGTCAAATGAGTTTGTACACGAAGGTTATTTTGAAAGTTGACCCATCTCAACTATATTCACAACTATCAATGGTCCGGCTGGCCTATCAAAAAATGAACCTGTTCACTGAAAGACAGCGTTCTACTTGTTTTTAATGGTTCACGAGATGGAGAAGAGCTCCTATGGTGGTCATCAGATCAGTTCACAACCCGGGGTCCACAATGGTCGAAAGAACGGAAGCTCTTATTGCAATTTGATGCTATTTATGTCATGAATGTATTGATGTGAATAAGACATTTTCGAACAACGACAATCTAAAGCTTGCAAAAACTGAATAAGAAGATAGAGGACTGGTCATGGAGGTCTGGAAACGGACGATCACATCGTTCTTCTGCTACCAGATACTCCATAATAGTTCTGATACCACTTGACAAACTTTTTCAACCCGGTGGCCAGGTCCGTGGTCGGGTCGTACCCGAGCTCGCGCCGGGCGAGGGTCACGTTGGCGTGCGTGAACGGCACATCGCCATTCCTCGGCATTTTCACCAAATCTTTCTTCGCCTTCAGCTTCAGGTGCTTCTCCAGGATGGCCACCAGGTTCGGCACCGTGACCGGCGCAGTGTTGCCGAGGTTGAAGATGCGGAACTGCGCCTTGCCTCGCTTCTTGCCGCCGCTGCCCGTGCTCTTCTCGGCCGTGTCCAGCGACGCCACGCACCCCTTCACGATGTCGTCGATGTAGGTGAAGTCGCGCGCCAGGTCCACGCGGTTCGCGCCCTGGTAGATCGTGATGGGCTTGCCGCGCAGAATGTCGCGCGTGAACGAGAAGTAGGCCATGTCGGGCCGGCCCCAGGGCCCGTACACCGTGAAGAAGCGCAGGCCCGTGATCGACAGCCCGTGGATGTGGTTGTAGGTGTGCGCGAACTCCTCGCCGGCCTTCTTCGTCGCGGCGTACAGGCTGGCCGGCTGGTCCGTCCGGTCCGACTCCGAGAACGGGACGTGCGTGTTGAGCCCGTAGACGGAGCTGGACGAGGCCCAGACCACGGCCGGCTGCGGGTCGGCCTTGACGCAGGCCTCCAGGAGCGTGACCAGGCCCGCGATGTTGCTGTGCACGTAGGAGCCCGGGTTCTCGAGCGCGTAGCGCACGCCGGCCTGCGCCGCCAGGTGCATGACGTGCGTGAACGTGATCAGCTCGAACAGCTTCTTGAGCAGCGCCGCGTCGTTGATGTCGCCCTCGATCACGAACACGCCCTGCTTCTCCAGCAGCGCCTGGCGCGCGCGCTTCAGCGACGGGTCGTAGTAGTTATTGAAGTTGTCCAGCCCCACCAGCCCGTCGCCGCGCGCCTTCAGCGCCAGCGACACGTGCGACCCCACGAACCCCGCCGCGCCCGTCACGAGCACCACCAGCCCGTCGTCGCGCTTCGCGTGGCACGACTGGCGCACCCGCCTCTGCCACACCAGGTCGCCCCACTTCGCCTGCACGGGGCCGACGAAGCCGTCGCCGAAGTTCCACTCGCCCGACGTGTTCAGGCGCATCAGGAACACGAACGCCGTGAGCATGAACAGGCCCACGGAGAACCCGAAGAGCCTGGCCGACGACGACCCGTGCCAGCGGTTCACCACCCGCCCGAAGTAATTGCTGCGCTCCATCTTCACCTTCCCCGGCGTCGAGGGGAAATTGTCTTGATTCATGTTGCTCTGCGGCATCTTTATGAGGGAATATCTTGCGGTCAGTTTGTCTGTCAACGAGTGACCATTTCCAGACGGTTTCGACTCGAACCCCACCTCTTCAAACCGAGCAATTGGAAATATTGATGGTGCGCCGAGATCCGACCACCCACTCCCTCACGAGGCCTCGATGTTCCCCTCGATGTTCCCCTCGATCTTACGGACTTTACGTTTGCTTGTGATATCTGCAGTTCCAACCCAGCTCCACTTTCAGCCTTCGCCTTCGTTCCACTCCTCCGCTCTAAACCCCCGCTCTAAACCTCAGCGCAACAGATCCCCCACTCACGACCACATAAACCTAGAACATGTGTGAGGCAGTTGGTCGAGCCAAGTTTTCATGATTCCCTGGGCGACACGCGCGATCTCAGAAAGCTCCCAGAAAGCTGTGCGTTTATGCACTTCGCTCCTGCACCTACCGACCTGGCATACTAGTTCCCAAGCCAACAACAATTTGGTGACAAAGACACATCTCTGAAAGCTCGGGCTTGCTGTAAACACCCAATGATACGAGACCAAAGAACTGAGACATGTTGTGTCCCTGGGAGAAACTATGGAAAAGATGATGTTAGGAGGAGTAAGGAGTAAGGAGTAGAGCTATCGCAAAAGTGTTGCTTTTTTGAAATAAAAGCCATGTTATCTCTAAACACGACGAGGAATTTGACCATCCGGCAACACTTGGGGATCACCGCTCTTTTAGAGATGGAGAAAAGACATCGAATTCACACTTTTCTCATCCAGAATTCGTTACAAATGTGTTACTTTCGGTCTTCGTAAAGACCTGTCACACATCAGCCGATATGATTTATGTCAAGCAACAGCAAGTTGACATGCCTGGATCAGCGATCGCAAGCTGGTGATCGGCATGAACTGGCCTGGGCAGCCGTCGGCATAGTTTAGCGTACCTGGGACGATGAATTAAGCCATCGCAGCTATGGACTCTTTACTGAGAACAGACCCGCTGACAGCGGAGTATATTTTCTTAAAGAGTGGTCACCAGATGTTATTAGAAACCCGTATTAATTTGAGAACACTAAGGAAGGGAGAACATGGAAGAGAATTTCGGGATTATTCGACACACTATGCGATACTTCGTACCCTCGGTGCAACATTTCGTACCGGATCTGAAGGAGCACGATACGACTATTGGAAGGTAAAGAAGACACTGGATCGTTGAGTGCAGATTGTGGCCTTCAGCAGCCCAGCACCTCCACATTGACACTTAGAGCATCGAACCCTACTACTGCGAGTTTCAAGGATCTCTGTGTACGCTCGTCCATCGCAAGATTCAGCCACCCAGTCGACTCTCGGATCTAGAAGATTGTACTCTACAGTTTCAGGCCGGCAACACGTACTGCTCTGTCGACAAAAACGCCGTCCTGCCTCCTCGTTTAGTCCTTTGGACGCCCACGAGAACCTTAAGCTACCTACTAACGCCGAAGTGATGGCCGAGGTATATATTGAGTTCAAACCCACAAACACTGAAGATCAGTGAGGTATGTTATGGACCCATAACAACTTGAAAACAGAACTCGCGAAAGCCACGTACTAACGACACGCCCATGACAGAGGAGAACATTGACTGAATCTCTTCATCGTCAAATTCAAGGCATGACATGACTACCAGGTGTTCAGTCGGCCGTGTACGACATCCTCGTCAATTTGCATTATGGAGAAGGTACCGAGGGGAACAGAAACACCTATCAAAGGGTATCCAGCTCGGGGGAGCGGCTCTCGTTGCCACTCGACAAATGTTGGCTTACGAGGGCAGATCCACAAAGGAATCTCACTCCAAGCCTGCAGGATGCGTTGATCGAAAGAACACATCGCAATCATTCGGCTTAGATTCAACCGTGAGTCATCCTTCTACGGTCGTCCGATGGCTGGAAGGAAGCTCTCTATAGTCCGCTAGCTTGCAGTTGATGCATTCCGGTTGACCGATACCGTGGCAACGAGATTGTCTGACGAGTACATTACCTCTTTCCACAAAAAACGGCCTCCGTGCTAGATTATGACATCTCTAGACCGAGAAGACATTCCTGCTTTCATCTAGGAAGATCACGGCCTAAGAAGGTTCGAGCTGAACTAATCTGGAATTCAGCAGCACACGTTCCAAAATAGACTCAGGAGGTAGGCAGGGGAGGTAGAAAGACCGCTTAAGAGACACACTCCACATGCGTACAATCCATTCTGCAGCAATTCGTCGGAAGTCGGAGGAAATCGGGAGCGGGTTGGGGAGTTGGAGAAGCATACACGAGACAGGGCAGAGAGAGGGAGAGAGAGCATGGCACAAAGGAGGAGGTGAATTTGCAAACCTGGTGATCCAGAAGCCTCCGATGGTAACCAAAATGTGTATCTTCAGCGACGGTACATGCCTCACTCGCCTCCAAGATGCAATGCAGTCAAGCTTCGTATCGCTCCGCGGATGGAGCCACGGTAGATGTTCTTGAAACGGTAGCAAGAAGGCTCCTCTGAGTAATTGAATGCCAAACCTAGACAAATCCCCGGACCGCCCTAAATACTTGAAGAGGGGGAAGTCGGGGTGGGCGAGTGCTCTTCACCTGGCGACTTTCTGAGATATTTGCTTGCTCCCCTGGTGCTCAAGCGATCCGCCTTTAGTGTTCAGAAGAAACAGTGTTTCGACAGTCGCAGAAATGCGTGGGTTTTAAGATTTTCTCGTAATTTCCCGCGTTCAACCAAAAGTGCTACCACCGAGACTCCTGATACAACTGCAACTGTGCGCGTACTTCCGTCTGCTGATGAGGAAAATATTCTCGCCAACCGGTGGCAAACACAAGCAGCTCCGAGGAAGAATCACGAGCCTGGAAAAGCGGCACACAGAGTTCCAAGTCCACGGCACCACGCGGGAAGGCGAGGCTGGGCCTGTCCACCGCACCACAACCAAGGGCCCAGGAAAGAGGAAAGCTGAGGGAGGGAGGGAGGGAGGGGGGGGTGGGGAGGGGGAGGGGGCAGGAGCAGGGCAGGGCAGGGCCGGAAGTGGGGAGTGATGAGCAGGAATGAAGGGAGTGGCCACTCGGGCAACGCAAAGGCAAAACAACGCAGGATAACGAGACACTCTGCCACTCAAAGAAATCGGACTCAAGTCTATGGTTTAAAGCCACACGTCGTCGCCAGTGGCCCTCTCGCCTCTCGGAACAATGGACAGGAAAATATCCGTAGAATAACTACGCTGGCAGCTTTCACGCCCCCTGAAAACAATGCCCTTTCTGCGTTCCCACGGCCTCGCGACCTTCTCTCGCCTGCCTCCCGCTGCCTTGCCTAGCTGCGTACTCACAGGCTGCAGGACAGGAAGTCACTAGATGCTCTCGCCCGCAATAAATGCTCCTCCGATTTGCCCGATCTCCCTTCCCATCTCGCGCTCGCGCTCGCGCTCTACTCTAATTTCCTTCTTTTCGCCATCTCCATCGCCACCCCCTCCAATAGAAAATCATATAAAACAAGCGACGCCTTCCCCCTCTCGCCCACCACATCCATCCGTCCCCCGTCCCCCTCCCCTCGCCTACGCACCGAAAAAAGAAACAAGAAATAGTAACCCCTCGCGCCTCTGTCTAAAACGAGGCTAATCTCTGCACCATTTTCATCCTCCCGAAACAGCCAAACATGTCGCTGCAAAAGGTCCGAAACACACCATTGCTGATTGTGCAGCACAATAAAGCGAACAACAACTGTGCGCGGCGAGCTAGATCCGCTGCCGCTTATGCTGGCCAGCGAGCGCGAGTGAGGTGTACAGGGAAAGATGATGATCGGACCCTCCCTCCCCTCCCCGTTCTCTTCCCTCCCCTCCCTCCCTCCTCCTCCTCCTCCTCCTGCTGTCGCTCTGTCTGTCTCTGAGTCTGTCCGTCCGTCCAGCTCGCACCACCACAACACTGCCGAAGACCACGAAAAGCGAAAAGATCCAAAACCGGCGGCTCCTTCCCCCTCCCGGGGCTTGCTTCTTCCGCTGCTTCTCCTTCCACCTCCGCCGCGGCCCCCGACCCCAACCCCTTCCGCTGTTTCCAACCGAACAGAAAGGACTAGGGTCCGAGAGGCCAACGAACGATAGGTCCCATACTCCTAACGGGACGTCGATCTCTTCGCGCTATTGCTCGGGACCCCGTTCCCAGCGCGACCGATCGATCTGCGCATTATTCCTTCTTCTTTTCCATCCTCCCGAGGGGCCCAGCCGTTGCTTCTGGGGCTTCCTGCTGCTGCTCGGCTCTGCCAATTGTCAGAGGGGGGCATTCCTCTGGGGCCGAAGCCCTAGCACTTCATTACTCCTGGCCTTTAACTTTCCTCGCTGCCTCGCCTTCCTTACCTGTCACTAGCGCTGGAGAGCCCCCGCAGCCAGCCACGTCACCCCAAGCCAGCGATGAGTCGCTGACGCGTCGTCGTCCAGATATCGCACCCCGTCGCGACTCTTCTGGACCTGGCCAATCAGGCGCGGGTCTCTCCCCACCGACGCGGTACATGCGATCGCCGTGGGGTTCCAACACGGCAACCTTCGGTAGCGCAGTAAATCGCCCATTCGGCGACTCGCCGCCGTCGCGCGCCCCCGAGTCTCACGACGTCGCAGATGCTGACCTCGAGCCTAAAACCCTCACCGTCCCGCACCGTCCCAGGACACTCTCTCGACACATAACGGCATACCGGACATACATACAGAACCTGACCGGACTCGCAGGTGCCTCTACACAAGCGAGAAGCCTCTGCCCTACGCGCTTGTGTATGTCAACCTCCGAGGTTCCCCTCCCGTACTTTACCGTATTTTGCGGGCGGTACGGTAACCTCGACGGGAGTCACATTGCTGTGACCGTGGTCTTGTCAGAAGGAGTTAACCCAACCGTCGATCCCCTCATCGAACGGCTCGACAGGGATCTCGGAGTCTATCCAGAATGGCCAATAATTACGCCGTTTGAGTTTCCTTTCGTTTCTCGACCCCGTCCGAAAGCACAGCCGTTACTGGACGGGGAAGTAGTGCCGATCGCGACTCGGGGCCATTCAGGTCGGGAACGTAGTCCAGAAGGTCGAGCCAAAGTGTGGAGCTGCTGCTTTGAGCTCGGTCGGGGCAGAAGTCGCTGTCGATCGATTTGCGGTAGGGATGGGTGTAAAATAATGTTTCCGACGCAGTTCGAGGCTGGATTTTGGGCCGGTCTCGAACCGCTACCGACTACGATGAAATTACGATGACCTTCGGAGGCTTCGGTCACATGTTGGGACAGCGCACACTTGTCTATCATTCCCATAATATCGTCGTTGAGTTGAGAGACAGCTTCCGACACAGTACGTTCGATTACTTTACTTCACAGGCTCTGAGACCGCATGTCCGACACCATTTCTTAATGGCATGAAGGCTACAGAGAGGCGACCGTCTTCCGAGTGACCAGGAGCAACATTCATGCGGAGAAGAATCAATCATCCAGCACGAAGATCGAGATGGCAAACTATCGATAGAGTGAGTATAAATTATGGAACTGATTCTCAACGGAATATCGATGGGATGAAGGTCTTCCGCCGAGAAGTCCTACGAGTATCAATGAATTCGCACCCCGAAAAAACAAATATCCATCACATCCGAGCAGGCCAGGTCCTATGGCGAGTCCACAGGTTCCTCTTTCCGACCCGCTCCACCATAACTTTAGACGAAAGTTACTGCTACTTTTGCTAAAGTGTCTAACGATCAGCCAGCGTTTGATCACATTTTTTGACGATTTGTCTTCAATCCTGTACAGTACAGCGAGTACTTCTGCTTCTCGTTCATCAAGTCCACAGGCTGTAACTTCTTCCTCGAATGTACCTTCTTCAGCTGAGGATTATTTACGATGTCCATGCCTCTGCCTATATATATTATTCACCCCTCGAGTCGTACCACTAGCCTACATCCATACGCCAATGAGATGCACAAGTTGGCACCGGCTTTTCTCGTTCAGGCACCAGACGAGAGAGAGGAGTGGGTGGAAGCAGACTGTGCTCATGTCCCCCGACGTGACTTCGCCCGATCCAGACCATCTGAGAGAGCGGGAGAGAGTGAGTGGATGAAGTAAGGTACATTCGCCGAGGGTTACAAAACTCCAGCTTCTTGTGCCTTGCTTCAGGCCTCTGATTCTGCTTTAGCGTGCCGGAATCGGAGTCATGGGAGTGAGGGAGACTCGGTGCAGGACGCCTCAGACTCTGAGCAAGTCGTTCACGTCAAATTCACAGCAGCTCTTATGAAGCACGTTCACACGAGCAGGAGGAGGGAGTCGGTAAAATGCTCCTCCGTGCGTTCGATCGTCAGGCAAAGTAGCGATTTTCGCATCGGCCTCGCCATCGCTGACGTCATCGCGTCCGGCCGCAGGTCGTTCGTCGCACTTCTGAAGAAAGTTGGAGCTTTCTGTTGGGGCTTGGACTTAGCTGCGGTCAAAGCTTTCGAGATAAAGGTCAAGTCCGTCCTTCGATCCGCCCAGTCTTCGCGACTGGCCCGGCAACGTCCGTTCGGAGGTCGTCGTCGGTCACAGCCGACCTGCTGCACGAGTAATTCACTCCATCGCAGCGTCCCGGTCAGTGACCTGCTATGGCAAGTGCGAGCGCACACGTCGCGTGGCCTCGAGGCGCACTTCCCCGCTGCGGCACCGGCTGTAGCAAGTCTCAAGTGACGTCACTCATCCCCGCAGTCGTGATGAACATCCTCGGTGGCGACGAAAGGATGCTAATCCATCGCCACCGAGGATTCGTTCCGGCGAATCAAATCGATGAGACGAGAATGAGGAATTCCGGGGATGGCGACAGTGTCGATCGAGTTCATCCAACCCGGCAGCGAGCGAGGTTCAGCTCTCAACGCCACTTGTCTCTCGGAAGTGTGCAAAAACCTTTCCATTTCTTCCGTCATTGTACCTGCAGATCGGCTCGAAATCCCTCGAAACGAGGCTTTTCGCAGCTATCATTCACACATCACATGCCTTTGTCCGCAACGATCGAGTACAGTTCATTCATACATCCATCCATCCATCCTTCCTTCGTGTTCCTTCCATACGTGAGGAGGGATTTGAGCCAGTTTTGGTGCTCGCTAAGCTCCAAGAATGACATCTGTTTTCCACGGACGTGGAAATCCGCTGGAATTGACTGCAAAGTCTCTCATTCCTCCTCCCCTCTTGAAATTATCGGTATGGCGTTCAATCACAGGTCAATGGTGCGGTAAAACTTCAAGACTCGCATGTGTTTCGACTGTAATAGGTCATCTGCCTTCTGCCTTCATTCTTTCTATGTGAGTGAGTCTGTGAAATATCTGAATGTGAACTCCCGCCCGCTCCCCAGAATAGTAGTCATAGCAATGGGCTTTGCGCAACTTTAGATTCCGTGCTGCAGAAACACATGGGCAGTGTTTACGCCAAAGGGAGGGACTCCAGTCACTGTCCTAGCGACATCTGGAAACGAGTTCCGCCATGTCCATGTCCTTCACTCGAATGTAGCGAGAGGCGAGTCTTTGCAAGGCGACGGGGGCTATCAGGAAAACACGACCATCGATCGACCTGGTCAAGGCTGTCAGATATGATAACCTCTAGTCTTCTGATATCTTGGACATAAATAAGACTCTCCGTTACGAGACGGTGATCATATGAACAAAAATTATCAACTGAAAGATTCCCTACTGATCGTCTAATGTTAGTTAGCATGAAATAGTACAAACAAGAACAACCACAAATCCTTGGATAGAATATTTTGATTAAAAGCGGGAACCGCCAAAGTTCAAGAATTTCTTTGTGTTGAGAGGAAATTAGATTAAAATACGATGTGCATTGGACGTCCATGTTCGAAAAGGACAATTCTGAAAAATAGTAGTATCCGTATTTGATTATATTATACTTCAACCAATTAGTCGTGTTATATATATATATATATATATGCTGAAATATATGTGTACATTCTACATGCAGGAGTACTCTGTCTTGACATGTCAAAAGAAAATAACCATATTATTATAAATATTAACCTGTAGATACATACATTCGGAACTTCTACCTTTGTAAGCTTATTTTTAAGATGGTGATACTTCGTTCAGTATTCGCATGTAATTTTAAATAGGGGGGAAAACACGTTAGTAAAACATCCTGCTACATGTTGAAACCTAGATCTTAAAGTCAAACGTGATGCGAGTGGAGTAAGCACTATACTACGTCCAGCATTTATCAAATGTAGGTTTATTAGAAATACCTCGTAAATCTACATTTTTTGTGGGAATCGTGGTAGGTCATCTTATCCTGAGGTGATCATATCTACGTGTTGTTAAGGTTTTATCACAGTTGTCGAAGTAGTCAACGTCGTTGATCCTTGTGAGGTAAATGAACCAGGAGCCCAGAGCACTCACGTAGTTCCCGGCCTTGGAGTTACCAAGAACCAACGAAGTTCATGACAAATCAGGTTGACGTAGTCTGCCAATCGTCCTGCATGTCCTAATTTGTTTGGTCAACTTGTTGGCTCTGAGAACCTCCGATCCAGTCCACGAGATCAAAGCCGAACTCGTCGAGCGTCCCGTCACGGAGAAGAGACTCACTGTAGAGCTTTGTTTGAACCATGTCTCTCTTCTGGACGACACGATCCACTTTGCGAAACCGGGAGCACTGCAGACGAGGCTGGTTGAGGCACAAACCCGTGCCCAGCACCCTCTCGCCACAGTCACCATGAAGTCAACCCCGTTTTCCTTGTGAAGATCGCCAAACCACCACAACCCCTTCGACACAACTGTGATAACACCGCAACAACGCAGGAGCAGTCCAACCTTTTCAAATATAGATTGGATCGATCGATAGATTAGCTCAACAGTTGGTTACCCTTCATCAAAGAAGATCATGATGTTACGAGCGAGATAGATAGATAGATGTGATCGACAATGACCGGATGTGAGAGCCACCATTGCTGCTATGAGCAGTGGAGTGTCTTGGCCCCATGATCGCATCGTGATGGTAAGAGTTGAGCACACTTATACCACAACTAAGCTGGAACACATCGAATATGTCAAACGCATATGAAATCGTTGGAGAGTACAGCTTGATCTTACGGAACGAGTTTCATCCAATCTCGCTTGAGTGGCAGGGCTCAAATGCAAAAGGGGAAATACTGAAAGTTCCGGAAGGAACGTACAAAGCTACTGATTTGAAAGCTGTGAAGCAGCAGACGGTGGCAACAGATAACAGTTGCAAACGAACTGAGGGGAAATACCTTGTGAAGTGAAATGCAGATCCTGCTTCTCAGCTGTCTTAAAATATTGGAACCTATATGTCATATTATTAAAAGTAGTTGGCATCATGACGGTGAACTATTGCCCTAAACTCACACATGATCGTCTTGAACTGTTTTCTTAGTAGCAGTACAAACAAACATGAAAGAAACATGAAGCTGCTCACAACACGACCTGCTCCAAACACCGAAGGATGTTCCTTGTGAGTCCTTTAAAACTGTTTGCGCAGTTAATGTTCAGTAAATGGGCTTAATTGTTGGATCATGGCTTGAGACCACGGGAATGTATTGACTTACATGGCGCAAGCTTCTTTGTTTGTAGTTTATGTCATAGAATCGATGAATTCGCCGAAGGAGAGAGAATCGAATACTGTTTATATTTCTGCTCAATTGACACAAATTGTGACAAGTGGCTCTCATATTCGATTCTGTTTGGGGGAGACAGCGATCGATTAAATTCCACTCATGAGTCCCATGCCAGTGACAGATTCATTGGATCTCGGGCTTGAAGAACCATGAGTTCACATCTTGATACCACTTCTTCTACGACCACTTCCATCCGACCCTTCTCGGAAAGAGCCACCCGAACATACCTTGATGGTTCCAGTATTTCCTTATTCTTTCCTGCAAACAACTAAAAATCGTACCTCGATCAAAAAAGATCACGTGGAAAAAGCTTAGCCGGCTTGCCTTTCGATTCTTGGCACATAATCTGACTTTTTTCTTATTCTTAGAAACCCGCCATTCGCCACCGATTTGCACTGAAAGACAGGAACTCGATCTAGCATGGGTTTTAGGAAATTCACAACATCCCATCGTCTTTGGAAATCTACACAATTAGTGACTTGTTTCTCAACCGGTAGTGGGGAACATATTCTATGGAAGATCCCTCCCAACACAAGAAGTTTGACAAAGTCTAACTCATGAACTCTACCGTGCTTCTACTCGTACTTGACTGAACCAATAACAAATGTAAATATGGATAAATTTATCTAACCAAATGTCAAATGAATGTGGAATCAGATGTTTTCCAATTTTGTAGTTTCAAATGAAGAACAACAGTGTATATGTGAGCCTTCCATCGCGCAAGACCAGAGGCTGAGTACTATTCGACAGATATGGACCTACTCTAGACATCTTCTCGAGAAACTTTCATCGTCTACAACGTTCCCCAGAAAAACCTGGAGCAAGTGGAGTACTCGTGCTTGAATGGGTCTCTCCAAGTATTCACTTCCTATATTTCCCAGGATTTACTCCCAACCACGGGGACAGTTACTTCTTCAAAGTATCTACCATCGACCATAAATATTGACATGTAATCGCACGCTAAACTGCTTCATATATAGACCGCGCGTATCCGAATGGTTTGTGTAGAAAGCATACAATTCCGATAAACCTCGCAAGAATAATGGGTACATCTTTTACGCCAACTTTTCCTTCAGAAATTAAATATAGGTCCCAGCCTTCTCGAGAGACGGTTGTCTCCGGAATGAAAAGTCTATAACAGCTTGCCCATACCACAATCGTTGAGACGTGAGTGCATCCGTCCGTTCGTAACTCTGCAATTGCAAGTACAGCCTCTGACTCGAGGAAAAAGAATCCGTAGGTGGGCCCAGAGAGTGAGTGAATGCAGGGAGGTGTATTCGAAGGAAGGAAAAAGGGGCTGATATAGATTGAATCAGAAAAGAAATAGGCCACTGTGGTATGTTGGAAGTACAGGAAAGGACCAAAGTTTGTCCTTGAAGTACACAGACCTTACAATACAGGGAAAAGCAGCTGGAGCCGTCCAAGGTAAAACTCATCACTCCATATCCGAAAATCATTGTGTCCTCGCGAGGAGAGGGGGCACTATCCTTGCGCCCAGGAGAGAGAAAAAGTCCATATATAAAACTGGATGCTTTCCACTTCATGAAAGACGCGGTCATTATTCACTTTACAGTCGAGGGAGGGAGTACATGTCTTGAAGACGCACAACACCCCGAACCATCAAAAGAAGCCCCCCGCTTGCTTTTCAAGTGTGAGTTGTCATCCAAACTTCTCGAAAAGCAGTGAGCGGTCGAAAAGTATGGCGGGTCAAGACGTCTCCGAGAAAGGGACAGAGATTGTATCGGAGGGTAATTATTCTCGAAATAAGGTCGAAATTGAGATCTCGAGAGGGCGGAGCGCAAGTTGACTAAGTGATAGATCGAAAGTTTGTGCATGTAGTGAGGAACAGAGGGGTCCATGGGACCGACCACCAGCTACACTCAACTAGAGCCGGATGGAAAAAAGCAGATTGTGAACATGGCAGACTGGACGGGATTGGTGGATGCAGGCAGAACCTACAAGCAGCAGCACAAGCTCGGTATCAATCGAACCATCGCAGACATGCCTTGTTTCTGACGAGTAGGAATCGGTGACTTGATTGAGACCGAGGGAACTGCATCTGCACCAGATAAGGGCTGGTGATTCGGCAGCTTGCACTGAGTGTGTTTCACCAGATATCTTCTTTTCCACATTTCAGCCCAAAGAATGGACCGCCCAACCGTACATGGACGAAACCATGGCTAGGTCCCCAGAGATCATCGAGTACGATGGCCCTTGCCGGTACGTACTTCGCGGCTCCGTATCTGTGCTGGAGTTCGTACCGACTAGCATGACCACGTTTGTATGCCACGACTGCTCCCAATATGCCAGAGGAGGAAAGAAGGAAAACACCTCTCACCAGAAGGACGAGATCCGCGTGAAGGCTGCAATTGTATTCAAGTTTCGACGATCTTGTAGACTGGTTTCTCCTCTGAAGAAAGACATGAGCTTTCGAGGAAGAATGACAAATGTTGAGCTTGGATTTCAGGTAGTCATTAACACGCTTTATTACAACCCAACCTTCTGTATCTTTACAAATGATGGATTTGTTTCTGCATTGTATACGTAACTCGGACATTGCTGAAAGTAATAAAAAAAATTGCACAACAAATTAGAATGATATTTCACATGTGTGAGCGGTGACATGGCATTGTTTCGAGAGTGTAGACCGTAGATTTCTAGGCCATCGCAGTTGTGATTTCAAACATATTCCCTCTGCATATTTTTTTCAACCAGTATAAATAATCTATCGGTTGAATAGACAGGTTGGGTCTCTGTATCTTGTTTGTAGGGAGAGGAAATATATGTTGGGCTGCATTTGGTAGATCAAGCTAAATTTTCTCAGTTACAAAGCCAACATTGTTTGATTTGTGACCCAAATTCTATCTCTAGGTAAAGAGCATTTTCTTGTCGGGTGTTCTCGTTCTTCTAACTAAATTGTCTTTCTATTTAGAAAGTACTTCACATGACAAAGTACATTGCATTTTTTTATAAATTGTATTTTGGTTTACTTAAGCTCACTACATCGACTCTATCTTCTTCAGATCTCTTGTGTGCAATCTCTTGTGTGCATACTTACATGAGTAAATGTATGTATGCACTATATTATACTGGCCTTATGAGAAGGAAGAAATTTCATCTATTCAGTGGAACGGTGCTACTGTGCGATCAGTTCAAGTCTAATCTACACTTGAATAAATATATATATATACAAAGGAGCTACTTATGTAGTAGTACCCACTTAGAATCTAAAGACTGTGAAGAAAACACTTGCGCTTGCAAAGAAGACCTGAAGAAGTCAATCGACACCTTGTATGATTCCATATTGCTACTTTATGGTAGATTCACCAGTACCTTGAAGCCTTGTGAATTTCTATCTTCGTCAAGCGAGAAAAAACAAAGATCCAAGTTTGAAATATGAATAAGACAATCACTCGGTGATGTAGTCCAATGCGCAAGATACTATATTCATACCAAAGTTTGCAAAAGAATGTCTCATACTAGCTTTGTATTGACCTTTTGAATCCACATCCATCCATCCAACATAACGAAGTATAAATGTATAGTGTTGGAACATTTATCTACAAAACATTATTATAAGTTTCACTAATTTTTTTAGAGAAACGTGTTAGAAGCAACTAAGAAGAATATCACTCAAGTATTAATTTTGGTTTCACATTGTAGCGAGGAAAGATTACTGATTTTTGCATGGAAATAGTTCTAAAAAACTTATCTAAAAATTTTTTCTAGCAAAACATCTCATAAAAACCCTTTCATAATCACATTTATTGGTTCCCAACATAACAAACCATGTTGATTGTAGATTTGGATAATGCTCTAAAGTTATATGACAAAATATTGAATGTTAAATGAGGATGAAAGCCAATTGAGATAAACCAAAAAGAAGAGCAAGAAAAAGTGAGCTGTATTTTATTTAAATACATGAGGATGGATGGTGCAAGTATCTGTAAGACTGGTTGTTGTATGTGTTAATTACTAATAGAATAGCAAAAGAGTTGATCATAAATCATGTTGATTGTGAATTTGGATTTATACTCTAAAGTTATATGACAAAAGATTGAATGTTAAATGACGATGAAAGCCTATTGAGTTAAACCAAAAAGAAGAGCAAGAAAAAGTGACCTTTATTATATTCAAATACATGAGGATGGATGATGCAAGTATTTGTATGTCTGAATTACTAGTAGCAATAGCCAAAGAGTTTATCATAGTTAGTTTAGTTATGATCATTTGATATTGAATTGATGAGATTCCACAAAACCATCTGAGGTGAATTTAAAAGAAAATTAATATGTAGTTGACACTTTTTTCCATTTTTGAAATCTCAATCTAGAAGAAAAAATATTTTGTCCAAGAGAAAATCACAATTAGAGATCATATGAATTTGATGTTGGAAAACAAGAGAAAAAAAACATGCTTGAAAGTAGTATACCCTTTGTGTATCCAGTACTATCATATGATAACTTGAAAATTATTTTGTACATTTTTTTTATCAAAACACATTGTTTCGAGAAGTAAAATGAATTTGGAGAACAAAAAATTTGGTTTTGAAAGCATTTTTCAAGATTTTTAATGATGTAGAATGAAAAACAACATATTTTTTATACAAAGTTATGATTGTCATAACTTCAAGGAATTTTGATGAATATCAAAGTTTCAATTTCACACAAATGTGTGCATAGTAGATTAATTCTTTTGTTTATCTTGAAAGATTTTGAAACTTGCTACAATTCTAAAATGAAAAACAAGATACAAGATTATTTACATTTCAATCAGAAATCAAATCTAAAGAAAAAGTCATGATCTTTTAAAGTCTAAGGATATAAAAATAAAAATTGAATGCAAAACTTGTTGATTTAATTATTTGCAATTTTTGGTTATTTGAAGAACGTTTTAGTAAAAACCTTTTATATGTTTTTCACCGGATGTAAAAATGAATGAACAACTAAGTTGAAAGGTTAGATTATTCAAAAAATCTCAAGCATTGAATGTTATAGTAACCTTGAACTTCAACACAAGGAAATTGAAAGTGGATATTGAAGAGAGAATATTAAATCAATCTCCAAAAATAAAACACCAAACATGCTTTTATTTTGAAGAGTAAGAATACAAGATTGTAAGTTGTTTTACGCAACAAGGATTGGAGGTTGAGAAACACAATAAATTTGTAAGAGTTGAAATTTTATTTGAATTCATCTTCTCCACACTATTTTCAAAACGCGATGTATTGTGAAAAATTTGGAATGATTGGACTACAAACTAGACACAAATGTAATAGTATTAAGACACTTTTCAAATCACTTGTGGAAGATTTGAATGACAAAATACATGTGTAGTTGAAAAATTTGACTCAAGCCAGCTCAAGCTCCAATTAAAGATGAATATCATCATTTGGATGATTAAAATGATGAAAGTAAGACCCATTGTGTGTTTAGTAGAAGTGAGAGTACTAACTTGTAACACTAGGGTTTAGAGAGAAGCTCACTCGAAGATAGAAACGTAAACTCTCAAGATGAGAGATACCAACAATGGTTCTCCTCTCCCTTATATAGCTCTCACCAACAAGTACAAGGTGATAAGATCTAATCCCCACCATCCATCCCACTCCTAGTGGATGGATGACGTGGCGGATAGCCCTAACAAGCACACGGATCGCTGACGTGGCACTGTCAACTAACACATCCACTCTGTACCTACCAAGTGCGCGGATCGCTGACGTGGCAGCTATGACTAGTGCACACTAAAGTATCTACATCAATATTTAGAGTAACCTCTACTTTAGTTCTAACTAACTAAAGATGGTTACAAACTTCCCTCCTTTTAAGATGCAACGTCCTCGTTGCACATACGTTCAAACTCCTGAACTATCAAAGGTGCATTTGCTAAATTTTTAGCTGGTTCCCAAGTTGATTCATACGATGGATAGTCTTTCCATTGAATCAAATACTCTACTTTGGGATATTTATGACCTCGAATACGTTTCTTGAGTATCTTTTCTACCTCAAACTCCTCATGATCTGCTATCAAGGTTGGAAGAGGAGGTGGTGCTGGTTGGTTGGTGAATTGTTTTGGTCGTGGTACATGTTTTCGCAATCGTGACACATGAAATACTGAATGTATTTTCATATGTGACGGAAGTTCCAACTTGTATGACACTTCACCAACACGCTTCAAAACCAAAAATGGACCAATGAACCTAGGGTTTAACTTTGGTGTTCCTACAAGAGACAAATTCATTGTAGACAATCAAACATGATCTCCAACCTCAAAAATCACTTCTCTACGATGAGCATCGGCATGCTGCTTTTGTTGATTTTGAGCTATCATCAACTTCTCCTTGGCCTGATGTAGTCCTCGGTGAATATGCTCCACGAATTCGTTGACTGCTGCAACTTTGGTCGAAAACCTCCCTCCTTTGGGAAGTCTCATAAAACTTGAAGGAGTTATAGGATGAGCTCCATACATAAGAAAAAATGGAGACACTTTTGTGGATGCATTAACAGAATTGTTATATGCAAATTCCACAAGTGGCAAAGTTGTCCCACTCTTCTTGCTCTTCTAATGTGAATGCTCGTAGCATATCCTCTATGGTTCTATTTGCCCTCTCAGTTTGTCCATCAGTTTGAGGGTGATAAACCGTTGAAATTGCTAGTTTTGTTTTGAAAAAACTAAACAAAGTTTTCCAAAATAAACTAGTGAAGTGAGTACCTCTATCCGTGATTAACACTTTGCTTAAGCCATGATTCACAAAAACTGCATCTAGATACAATAGAGCTAGTTGTGGAGTTGTTACTGTTTTTGTGGTTGGCCTGATGTGAATCATCTTGCTCAATTTGTCCACAAAAACCACCACTGAATCATGTCCTAACGAAGTCCTTGGTAACTCACATACAAGATCTATGGTGACATGTTCCCACCGCTGTTCGGGAATAGGAAGAGGCTGTAATAAACCCGCTAGTTTTTGATTACTTGCCTTGTTTTGTTGACAAGCAACACAACTTCGAACATAAGACTTCACATCCTCACGTATTTTGGGCCAATAGTACACTCGTTGTATACTCTCCACGGTTTTCTTCACTCCCACATGACCTGCAATGGTTGTATCATGACTTTCTGCCAAAATCATTGTGCGCAAATCGTGATCTTGTGAAATCCATATACGCTGATTGTAAAACGCCAAACCTCGAGATTTCTCTGCCTTTCCAGTTTGTAATGCCCGAGTGATCTCTTCATCCTCCTTTGTGGCTTGTGACATCTTGCTCCATCAATCCGCCTGAATTTTCACTTCTGCAACATGATTCAAACAAGGCATGCGTGTGAGAGCATCTGCAAGTTGCTTCTTTTCCTCTACGTACACAATCTTCATGTTGAAGCTTTGACGCCACTTTGCCCATCGAATTTGTCGTTTGGACAGATCCTTCTGAGTTTCCAAATAAACCAAGGGTTTATGATCAGTCTCCACCACAAACTCATTATCACCCAAGTAATGCTTCCAATGTTTGGTTGCCAACACGATGGCTAACTCCTCCCGTTCTGTCGTGTGATAATTTTGTTCCGCCACCACCAACTTTCGAGAATAGAAA